AAATTAAATAGCTTAACTTATGCAAGTGTAATGTAATAGATTAAGTATGAAAGTCATCAACATTTTGGAAGCAACAGACACAGACGGAAAAACGTAACGTTAGCTAAGTGACCAGTGAGTAATTAACGTTAGCTAATAACCACGTTAGCCAGACGTCTCAGCTTCGTTTACAGCTAACGTTAATGTTAGCAAAAACAATCAGACAGCCTACTGTTATGACATAACATTTGCTAATAAGTGCTCAATATATTAATCACATATGACTTTAATTAACTTACCTCAATGTGTTTCTTGAGGTTGGATGGTGAGTTTTTGAAAGCCAGTATTTCAGTGTCCTTCGCCAGGCATAAGAGGCACTTCATTCGGTATGAGGAATCCTTCACGCCAAGAAATGAAAGCATCTCTTGCAGATATGGCCACGGGTGGTCATCCGAGTCTGCTGGACACGTACAGTAGGTGTAGGTGGGCCAGCACCTGTGCAGCTTTCATGACAGAGCTTTGGCGAGGAGCCGCTTTCTTGCGCCTGTTTACACCAAACAGGCCTGTGTTTGTACTGTAACCTGACGTCACTGGTTCGAAACCTACTTTACCGTGACTTTTTTCCCTTTTAATTTTGTAGTAAGTAACGGAAAGGCAGAGGTGGAAATGTATCGGAGTAAAAGTACACATTTTATTTAGGAAATGTAGTGAAGTTCACAAAATTTTAAAAACTCAAGTACAGATACTCCCAAAAAATACTTAAGTACTGTAACGAAGTAGTAATACTTCGTTACATTACACCTCTGTATATATCATATTTCATGTTTATAGAACTTTTATTTACAGTCTATGCTATGTCCTTATGCAGGGTTCAGTGTTATGGGCTAATTATATCTCTACAGATGCATTTTTGCATAATGAACGTTTCCTATTTTAAGCTACCAAATATTTTCAGTATTAAAATTCATGCAAAGTTTCAGTTTCTTAAATATGAAGATATAAGAACTTATTTACTCTGATTTATTTGTTTTAATTAATATCCTCAAATTTTGAGCTGTTAAAAAAAGAAAAGCTATTTTAAGATTTCACCTTGGATTCTGGAAACTTGCCACTATATGGCACTTTACAGACTAATAAAATAACTGAAAGAATAACTGACAAATCAATATGAAAATTATTGCTAGATGCAGGCCTCACCATCACACAACACAGACCTTCAGGAACCTACAGGCAGGCGCCTTAGGATGAATCAGAACCACACAGTTATAAAAAGCAGAGGGCCAGGTGAAAGTAGACCAATATGAACATTTATTTCTGGAAATAAGTTACAAATAGTTTCCAAAGATTTTCTACTCGTATTATAAGATATGTTTGATTTTACTTTCTTTTTCAGGTATAGTCATTATAGCAAGGTATGTTTTTGTTAAATCCTCTATTCTGTTTTCCTACAGGTAGACTGAAGACTGGTGGACTAAAGGACACTGCGCTATGACTGAATGTGCCTCAGGACAGTAGTATTTCATGGGTTACATGTTTCTTCTTTAAACAGTGACATTTGCAGGTTGGGGGACTGCAGCCTGTCATGTACATGGTACCAGCTGTAAAGCACAGTGAGGACATGGAGTTCAAGAGGTTCGTTTCCCAACCAGAGCTGCCTCTGACACCGTGTGTTCATCATATGTGACTCTTCGGTGGCTATTCTGAAGGTCGTGGAGGTGGAACACCAAATGTGACCAGGCCAGAAATAAAGAATGTGCAGAAGAATGGTATGGCCATAAAAAACTATGTTTTGAATCTGAAAAATGGAGAACATGAAATGATATGAACGGTAAAATATCTGAAAATAGAAAAAAGGTTTTGGAAACAGCTTGTTCTTTCTACTTAGTGTTCATGTGAACTTGGTTTTACTAGGCTCATGGCAAAAGTTTACAAAATGATACGTAGCTCCTGTGCTATGACAACATTTTACAGCTGTATCATTTATTCGATTACTTAAGATAAAAAAAAATTGCTGGTTCTAGCTCCTCAAAAGGTGAAGCCAAAAGGTGAGGCTGCTTTTCTTTGTCGTATGTGACAGTAAATGAAACCTTTGAGCTTTGGTTGGTTAAACAAAACAATACATTTGGGCCTTAAGAAATGTTGTTGGACATATGATTAAGCAAGTAATCATCAGACTAATCATTAGTTGCAGCTCTCATGCCTTTGCTGCATTTCTGAAAACACTTTTTCTGTCAAACCTTTTCAACAGAGTTATTATAAACTCCAGAGCGAAACACGCTTCTTGCTGCTGAAGTGGCGTTGACGTGGGAAATGTTACATTGTGTAACACAAAGCACTGAAGATTTCCCCAGTGAGACAAGTCTCAGCAGCTTCACGTGAACTATTAAGATGCATCTAGAACTCGAGGGGTCTGTGAGGGGACAAGGGACGGCACTGGTACCAAGAACCATGCACTAAAGGACAATATCAGTGTTTCCACATCTGGAACAAACTCAAGTCTGATCCCTCATTAGACAATGAAAATCTGTAAATGATACTTTGCATACAAGGACCCAACCACATTTCCAAATACTGCCACTCTTGGCTTGCTCATTTTCAACCCATCTTCTGGTCAGTTTGCAGATGAAAAGCAGTTGTCAAAGCATCCATTCAGCCACATGCAGTGCTGCTTAGGAGGAGAGGAAAGTGGACAAGACAAGGAAAGGCCTGGAAAAAAACATTCACAAGGAAATTGTGGTCATAATAAATAATCCTACTCCTAATTCTGCATAGCTCGGTGAATAGCAACACCTCTGAATCAGTATATGCTCTAGCCCTTTTCACGGTATAATACAAAGATGAAAGTAAATACGTAGAAAGGCCGAGGTCCAAACCACTGAGCTGGTCACTGAGAGGGGCTTGCTGGGCTGCAGGATCAAGCTGAGACAGACTTTGCATCAGCCGAACAAACCTTTTGACAGGACCGGAGCACTCTAGGTCTGAAATAAACAGAGCTGACTGCCGAACGCTGGTGGACATACTGGAGAAGATCCGTTGAAACACTGGACAGTGATTTTTTTCCCCTGTCATAGCTGAACTTTGTTGGCTTAAATTCAAATACGCTGCTCCTGGTTTTGTACTCAACGACGTGTAGTGTAATTTACAGGTAAATGTCCAAACTATGTGCACATGTTACGGTAGGTGTACCGACTTTACCTTGACATATCAGAGACAGTTAATCTCAAACACTGCTACGTAGCAGTGGATCACAAACTGTGACATTTCATAATTGTAACTATAGCCTATGTGTATGATTAGCAGTTTGACTGTTTCCATGACAATGAAAATTCATAAAATGTGCCCGTGCGATGTATATCACCATTAATGTGGGTGTGAACACACACCTGCTTTGTATCTTTTCACTGCACTCTGCACCAAGGTTTTGTGAATTATTACTTTAAAATGCAACAGTGGCAGCAAAACTGTACATCACACTGTACATGGTTAAACTTTGCAATCAACTGTAACCTGGGGGGTCCGTACAGGTCAATTCCGACCCGTGACACCACGATGCTCAGTGCCTGCAACACTGCTCATTGTAACATGCAGCAGCTTCGACGGTTAGCTGGTAAACCTGCATGTACACCCAACAGCTGTCATAAGAAAAAATAAAGTGCAAGAAATGTAGACCAGAGTAAGTAAAGCAGTGCCAGTGACTAGATGGACCCAAATAATGAGGGAAAAAAACAAAAACACAGCCTTCGCTCTCTGGAGTACGAGTTCCCATCACCACTGTCAGACACTGGATGAGCCCTCCTGTATCAGGTAGCATTTCCCTCCAGTCCTGCATCCACTCATTCACACAGCAACACACGCTGAGAAAGAGGAAGGGGAGGGGCCACAGAAAGACACGGTGAAGTGATATGAACATGAGCACAGTCTGGTGGATATCTGGAAGTAAAGAGCAGGATTAGGACTACAGGCAAGAACGCACTGGAAGCCAAAACTGATCCACTTATAATGTTACAAGTCACAGCTGTGGGGGACTGAAGCCTCAGCAGCACTGGTCATGATATCTGGGTTTCTCTACACAGGTATTAGCTACACCATATATATAAATACAGTATAGTGTTAATAGCATTTAGTTTAAACTCCTGATTGTATGCTTTAACTTAAACATACATAGTGTACAGGGCATTATCTGAGTTGAATAGCTACAGTCACGTCTCGCCTTTCATTATCATATTTCTTAATGTATAGAGCAATAAACTGATTAACCATATAAAGGGTATTTGCCTTTGAAGAGGTCAGTGGATACTATGAAATCTCAGGATGTGGGCAAAGAAACCTGCAATAAAGGTGAAATAAAATAAGCCTGCCCCTTTGTGTCTGATGGTTCCAGTGCGTTGCTGCAGTAAGCCTGACTACACCCCCTAAATACAGCAGGTGACTGGTTCAACAGGAAACTGACCACAGAGTAAAACTGCTTTCTCCCCACAAAGACCCTTCTGTAATTTTCTGAGAAAGCTAATTCTGAAAATGTTCAAGCTTAAAAGGTGACATCTTATCACACAACTCTTCGATTTCCTTCTTTAAGAACAGCAAACCTATGGCCCGGCCCATCATTTCCTCAGGAAGTGCTGGTCTCTAAAAGCCTGTGCCTTAGCGCCGTCTCCAGGCGGGAGACTCCGGTCTGCCAACATCGCACTGTCTAGACAAAGGAGGCTTGTGGTGGAGCAGACCTCAGCTGCAGCGTCTGACGTGCTCTAGCACATACTCTGGGAAGTGCAGACTGCAAACCTGCAGACCGTCCAGTTTGCAAGGCATCCTGGGATACTCGTCCTCCTTCCACTTATTTTCATCAGGGTCGAAGGTGAGGATGGAGTCACTGTAGTGGCCATTGTAACACAGGCCACCCAGCACCATGATCTGCCTGTCCAACACTGCCACCCCATGGCCGCTGCGCCCGATAGGCATGGAGGCGAGGATGGTCCACTCGTCAGTCTCTGGATCATACACCTCTGTGGACGGGCAGCCCTGCGACTCGAAGGACGCCCGCAGGATCACGCACACCCCCCCGAACACGTAGAGCTTCCCGTTGTGAGAGATCATCTTGTGGAAGCAGCGAGCGTAGTTCATTTTGGATTTGTTCTCCCAGCAGCTGGTATGCGTGCCAGGCAGCAGCGAGCCTCGGCCGGCACGTGTCCTGTGTGCGTCCGAGCCGCCCGAGCTCCCTCCTCCCCCACCTCCCGCTTCCCGCCCTGGATCAAACACGCACACTTGTTTGGAGGTGGAGGAAGAGGTGATGCCGCCGGTGATGTACAGTTTCCCGCTGAGGACTGTTCCTTCGTGACCGTACTTGTTTACAGGGTACGGGTCCACAAACTCCCAGCGGTCCTCTGTGATGTCGTAGCGCTCTGTGGAGTAGAAGGTCTCGTCTCGCGTGCGCCCCGCTACAGCGTAAATAAACTTACCGATGACGCCTACGGCAAACTCTGACCTGCAAAACAGTGAGTAAACATCATATGTAAATAAATGAATAATTCATTAAAAGAAGGTGGGATGGGAATCGGAGCATTTCACATAAGGTGACAGTGAATCCAGTAACAAAGACAAGATAAAGAGGTTTCTCCACTGGTCAGTGTGTGCAAATCTCCAGAGCGTCAGACTCATCTAACCTTGGTACAGACATATCGGCCATGCGCAGCCAGGAGTTCTGTCGGGGGTCATAGCGGTACACCTTGGAGGAGGCGTGGAATTCCCCGTCGGGCCCCAGCTCCTCTCCACCTAACAGGAAGGCAAAGTTGTTGACGATAGCCAAACAGTCTGGTCGCAACGGCACCTGAGGTCCCTCCAGCTCCCACCACACCTGGAGAATTACAACAAAGGTTAATGAACCCAAGACTCTGAATTCAGACCAGATTATATAAACAGATTAAACCGAAGAACCAGGGTGGTGCAGCATAAGCAGGGGCTTAAACTCCTGTTTCTTCTCCACTGTTCATCGCTTTTATTTTATGCTTGTAGCGAGTGTGAGAAGGAATCACACAGGCTACGTGCACCTTTTTAGCACAGCAAACAGCTGTAACTCATTATTCTAAATCTCTCCAAACCAACAACAAACTGTCTCTTGGGCGTTGTGGGGATGGCCCACCCATGTCCAGCCCTGTGAGGCTGTCGCAGCAGGAGTCAGAGAGGTGGGGGGTGCACAGTTGTCTGACGCAGAACGACTTAACATGGGAATGACCTTAAATGAATCCAAAAACAACTGCCAACCCTCTTTACAGTCACAGCCGGCCCCCCAGGCACAGAAAGGAACAGGCACCTTTGGACGCTGCAGCAGAAGGATCTTGCTGTTCACCATGCTGTGACCAATCATTCCCCTGAAAACGGCAGTCTGTGGGCGGACAGAGCGGATTCGGTTGGAGCGTGTTTCCACAAGAGGCTGCTGGTTGACATCATGGAAATAGCTGAGTGCCAGATCCACCTCCTGCCTCAGCTGCCGGGAGTAACGGTAAAACTCTGACGTCTTCACCTGTGACGAGGAGGAGTAAGTTTGTCTACATGTTAAACCCGAGTCTGCAGCTCAGTATCACCCTCAGCTGCCTACATCTGTGTAATATGTGTCAGAAAGCAGCACTCACCTTTTCAAAGATGTTGGCAGGAGTCATGAGACAGAAGCGGATGGACTGCACTATGGTGTCCGTGTGCCTCCAGCGCCGCCTGTCGTGTCGCAGCCACGTCTGTACGGCTTCATACAACTCGATTTCTGGGTAGCGGCTCAGAGCATCGCTGTTCAGGTATGCCTGGGTCAGAGACAGAGGAACTGAACTGAAGCTCTGGTCGACTGGTACATGTCTAATGCAAAGTGACACTGCTACTGTTAACATGTAGACTTCTTTCCTTTCCTCTTGGTACCGTCTGCCTGTGTGCATCTGCTGCCTTCTAGTAATGCATTTTCTGTGAACTTCCCAGATCCCTGAGGGACTCTGTTGGGATGTCTGCATGCAAACCAAATATTTGTGTCTGCTCAACAAAAGTTCCCAATGCACATGTACAACAGGGCTTGGAAAATATCAGCTTTCCCTCATCCGTGTACGCTCGAGGGTATGCACCAAGTCTTATTAGCCTTTAACTTTCACTGAGATTCGGGTCTTCCTGTGGTCTCGTGTGTGTTTAACCATAAAACAGCAGCTGCAACAAGATGAACTGGGAGAGCCAGAACTCAGGGCTAAAACCAACACGTTCTCCTCAAAGCTCTCCACTGTAAAGAGTTGTGCAGTCAGCGAAAATCATGCTAAAATTTTAAAACTGAAAAGTATCACTGTTCTAGAGAAAACAAACTGAAACAATACAAGGACCAGATTTTGCTCCCTAACTATAAATCACATTAACTTTATATTTTTGATGACCATTTTTAAAACGCGTGCTGCACAGGTTTAGAGCTGTGGATGAAAGTTCCCTACAGTCCCAGGCAACAGCGCTCCTGCACAGCTGACAGTCTGCTAACTGCTTCTGTAGACAACATGCATCCAGAGCTCTAAAACATGCAGCAACCTTTCCACAGTGGATCACTCTGAAATGTGGACTGCCTGAGCTACACAACTAGTACAGCCCCAGATGCTTGGCTTCGTATCTGTTAATCCAAACCTGCAGTCTTTCGAGGCTGAGGTAGGACAAGAAATCGGGTCGGCCCATGAGAGGGACAAAGTTCTCCACCAGGAAATTGTCGAGCTGCTCCTGGACACCTTCCACACCCACGCTGAAGTCCTCAAGGAGGCGCATGACCTCGGCACAGTTCTCCAGACAGATCTTTGCCAGCAGGAAGGAGCAACAGAACTCCACCACCTCCGTCAGCTGGACATACATGGCCGCCTGGCAGCATAGGGGGAGTGGGAGAGTATTGTGATGGTGAAGACGTGGAAGAGACCGATTGAGTATTTTAATAATACTTTAACTCCTAAAATCAGTGTCTAGTCCTAAGTAAACCATGTACCGTTACCTGCAGGATCTCCTGGACGGTGGGCATGCTGAGCTCCAGCGAGCCATAGTACATGAATCGGAGGATGTGGCCAAACCCAGCAGCAGTCAGCCCTTTCATGTGGATCTTGTCCTGGTCCCTCTCCCTCATGTCTGCTGTGAACATGACCCGGAAATAGTCGCTCTGCGTGGCCAGAAGTGCCTTGTGGGCCTAGAGGACGAGCAAACACAGTGGACACGGTCTATGAACCGATGGTGCAGCAATGTTGGTGGCTCAGGCAAAAAACATGCAGTTACGTCTCCTGTGCATGAACATCTGGAAGCTGGACATTTAATCACAGCTTCACTCCTATCACAAGGGAATTAGTCTTGAAAAAAAATCTCTCTCAGCTCTGAAGTCACCAGAGGCACAATTTATTCTAATAGGAACATGATTTTCCCATTAAATGGAAGAGACTTTCCTCTTTGGGAATAAGATATGTTTGTTACTTTAAATCAGTTACACAACTTTTCTTCGTTCTTTATGTCATCTCTCCGGCCTTCTTCAGGATGCAGTGTTAATGTCTAATGAAAACGACTGTAGATGTCAGAGGCTTGGTGCAGTGTGTGTGCATCTTCAGCTTTGTGTACCTGGAAGATAGGGCTGGGCGATATGGCCAAAAATAAACATCTAGGTTTTTTTTCATAAAATGTGACTGATTCATGATTTCGATTTTGATTTTTTTTTTTACGTGTAACTAGCCAACTTAAACACAAGTACAACAACATGACTGAAGTAACATTCTCTTTTTAAGTAACTTGAAAAACCATCAGTTTAAGAAACATTGTATTTTAGTGTGCATGCCATACATAAATTGTTCAACAAGGTGTAAATAAATGTAAAACAAATTCTCTAATAAAATTTCTTTGCAGCTGAATTAAATATGAAAGTAAATATTGAATTCTTCTCAATACAGAGTAAGAAAGTAGCCATTTTAAGTAATGACCAATGATTTTAACCAATCAGTCAACTCAAAAATTAAGCACATTTACACCAGAAGCATTATTAACAGTAAATGTTTGTGTTAAAAAATAAAACTAACAGCACTTTGCTGACCATCATGCAAACATGTTTGATTATATCACCTGTAGGTGTTCTTTACAAGTTTCTTGAGAGCAAGACCAGACTGTCTACTGTTTCAGGCTTTAGAGATGCT